TTTTAAAAAAAAAAAAAAAAAAAAGAAAGAAAAAAAAAAAACAATGCTAAAAATTGATGGGCAGTGGTCACCATATACTGGATTTCCTTTCTTACCACATGTATCTGAGCTTTATGTCCTACTCAGGGAAACAATCTAAATTCCCATTTATTCAACTTGTACTCAAAATCCAGGATATCTGAATGATACCATGTATCTGTATCATGCCTAGATGGACCTTCTCTTGTGACAGATTGACCTAAAAAGACAAGCAGGTAGGGGAAAGGGAAGAAGGGAAAGGAATAAATATGAGAAAAGGAAAAAATGGAAACAAAGTCTTTGTAAATAGTGAGGGGTGGAGGGGTTGAAGGAAGGGCAGTGGAATGGGGAAAAGAATAAGAACCAAGATATATCACGTAAAGGTACAAATTCCCTATGATGAATGTCATCATATTGTATACCTAAAATGTACCAGTAAATTTAATGAATAAAAGAAAGACAAGCATCTGCCTGTTCATTACCCAGTATACAAGGGTTTAGGGTGTGCAAGATGATCCCAATAAAAGGTGAAAAGGAAGGAAGTACTACTAGATGCATCATCTCACAGCAATCTTGAAATCCTGGGACAGATATGAATGGCCTTTACCTTGAGAGTGGAAACCTTCCTTGGTGAGCCCTGGATTCTGAACCCTAATAGCTCCTAATCCCTTTCCCTCTAAGGAATCTGCCTCTCCCTCTGCAACTTGCTTTCTTTTCTTTTACCCATATTGGCTTTGTTTGATAGAAGACTTTGACAGTAAGCTCTACTCAAAGGCTCTTCTCTTTTGGCATCTTTCTTGTCTATAGTCTTAAACAGCTCCAAGTCTTAATCTGTTAACATTTTTATACAGTTTGGTTTTAAATGACAGTAACTCTCCCAAAGGTGTCATTAATTACTATACACTCCAGTTACCTCAGTTTTTCTGAAATGTGTCTTTCATCTCTAGGTGGTTGTGGTTATCTGAAGGAAGATTTATGCATCCTAGAACAACCTTGCAGAGGGAAATGGGAAGCAGCCCTGGGGCCTGAATGCTTCTTGTCTTCAGTGGACACATATCCTTAATGTTAGTGCTGTCGGGTCACTTTCCTTCATAAACTGTAGATCCCTAAGCATTGGGCTCTGGTATCCAGACAGAGTTATCATTTAATATGACCCATATTTAGCAAATTTAAACACTCATTTAGCCATTCTGTAATTTTTTTCTATGGACTCTTAGACTTCTGACATATGTAATAAATTCATGTCTTTATCTATTTTATGTTCTAGAATGCTAAGTATTATGAATAGTATTTGAATCTGGTACTCATAAATTACTCCCAACACAAAGTCCTGTAAACATTTCGGCAGTTAGTACGGTTATCTTCTACTTTTACATAAATAGGTGAATTTTTCCCAAAATTTTATTCATTTGAACTAATTATGGCTTTTTGTGGCACATCGATGAATGTTGTATCTTCTACTCATGAGAGTGAATCAGTTTGTAAATGTGGTAAACTTATTGGCATCTATTTTTTAAATTTCACTTGATGTGAAGGTCATTTTGATGGGATACTGACAATTCATTTATACCACAGGTTTGAGTAACCTTATCTCATATAGAACTGAGATCAAGTTTTAGATTTGTTGCTCAAAGTTCTCGACTGAGTAAAGTATTCTCCATCTTGCCATGTCCCTGCACTTTTCCATAGAAAAACACTCCTTAGTCTGAGAGCCTTTCTGGACCTTTCTCTCCATCCATGGTGTCTCTGGCCTATCTGGTATGTTAAGAGAAGCATGTCTCAGATGCACACCCTTTAATTCCTAGCTGAGTGACTCCTTGCACACAGAGCATCTCTAACCTTGTATTTTCCTGGCTACGAGTGTCTTTTTGTGCATACTACACAGAGTATCGAGTTACTATTCTTTCATTTCTTTGGATCCCAGTTCATTTATCTTCTTTTATTACTTGTAAGAGTGTGAGCAGTCCAGGCCTATGGAAGGGAATTAAATCATCACAAGTGTGTTTCAGACACCAAACGCACACATAATTCGAGCCCATTTTAAGAAGGTCCACACCTGCATCATTCTGCCTGGGGTGAGAAGAGTGTGTCAGATACTAAGGGTAAGCAGACTAGAGACAAGGAGGCTGGGAGAGCATTTACTGAGCACCTGCAAGGTGGACTCTGAGCAGGCAAAAAGGCAGAGTCAGGTCACTGCTTCACCAGTCTCAGAGGCCTGGGTTCTTGAGCCTGCCCCCCCACATCTCTCAACCAGCACAGACTCAGAAGAGCTGGGTGATATCAAAATAACGCCTTTATTTCCTGCAGCACCATGGGAAGAGGTTGGGGCAATGCGTGTCTTCTTGGCCTAGGAGGGTATCAGGCCTTCCTCGGTGGGCAGTTCTGGATCTTTCTCCTCAAAGACAGCTAGGCCCATAGGACTGGTCTGTGGAAAAGCAGGACCCACAGTGGCAGTTTCTACCATCCACATGCCCACACCATCCCTTTCCAACCCTCCCCATCACTCCAGAACCAGCCTTTGTCTTGGTTGTGCCACCTGCAGAACCTTCTTCACCCCTTATGGAGTTGTCTCAGTTTCCTTCCACTGGATTCAAGGACTCACCACCCCTTCCTCTTGCACACTCTGGGACTGCACTCTGTACTTTTCCAGTTCTTCCTTCAGCCTGATCCAGAAGGCGTGGGTAGGAGGGTGGGATGGGGAAAGCAAGAACACAGGGGTACAGAAGGGAAAAGAGGGTGAGAAGATACAGAATCCAAGAGGGAAGGAGAGACCCCTCATCCACCTTTCTGAGGAGAAATGGGGGCAAGGGCTGCAGGTCCACCTCTGCCGCTTCTCCTGCACTTGCTGGCACCTCTGCTTCAGTTGTTGATGGTGCTGGGCTGCAGCCTCCAAGAGCTCCTCAGCCTTCCTGTTCTCCTCCTTGAACAGCTGCCTGTGGGGAAGACAGGGTCAGCAATGGCCCTTCCCTCCTCCTGCTTCCCCTTTCTCCACATCTTACACTGCTGCTGCTGCCTCCTGGCTTCGGAGGAAGAGCCCCTCAGCGTGGGTGGAGGGCCCCTCAGGCCCGCACAGGGAGCAGAGCTGACGCTTCACATCCTCCAGCTTCGTCTTGATCAGCTTCTCTGTAGTAGGAAGGGCAACAATCAAGAGAGGACAGACAAGGGCAGGTCAAGGCCACCCACTCCTCTGACCTCACCTTCCTTGAGCAGCTGCTCCTTGTTGCTGTCCAAGGCACAAATCTCCCTTGCCAACTGCTCCGGCCTCTGAAGGGGGTAGAAAGATCTGTCCACACCTCCTGGCTTCCCTGTGCCTCAGAAAAGCCTGCTTGGATCAGGATCCTGCCCTTTACTCCCTCATAACATCTCACATCTTCACTACAATGCTAGTCATTCCCTCCCTCTGGACCTTTCTCACCCTGAAAACAGGCCCTGGGGAAAGTATCACTAAGAGAGAAACCTGCAAACCTCTAATTGTGGGCTGCACATCTGGAGATTTGGTTACTGGCACAACACTGCAGCTCCTCCCTCCTCCTTGCTTTTGTGGCCTCTTCAGAACCCTTCCTTCCTGATTTTCATCTCTGTTTCCTCGTCTACTATCTGGAATCTCCTGAAGGCAAATACTAGCTGCACATCCCCTACTGTCTCCCCTGTATCTGTGATGGTCCCAAACACATTCATGGATGACTCCACTTTGGTTCCATAGGGATCCTCCTGACCACTGAACCGACACAGGAGAGCAGCATGGGTGAGTGAACAGGATCAACATTGAGGACATGGGGGCTCAACGGTGGTGACAAAGGACTGGATTTCAGGCAAGGATGAGAGTGACTGTAGGACTACCAATGCTTGCACAGAACAAGACATAGCAAGTAAGGTGTACAGATGGGAAGTGTGGTTTTGAGCGACTCACATGAAATTTCCAGAGATCCTTGTGCTGGTCTATCAGAGTCTCCAGCTGTTCCTCGAAATCCAACCTAGAAGTCAACCACCCAGGTACAAGGGCCATGGACTGAGATGGCACAGCCTGACCCAGGTCAGAGGTCTTCATACACAGCCCTGAAGGTCTTTGCCCTCTGCTCCAGAGGGATCACTTTCACTACACTAGCCTTTGAACTCTGTTTAGACAACAATCCTAACCCATCCCTGATGTCACCTGACCTAGAGGCCCATCTGATTTCCCCCTCCTCAGGCTGTATGCACTGGAATTTACCTCAGTTGTCTCTGTTTGTTCCTTTCCTCCTCCATCTGTAAGTTCAGGGAAAAGATCCTCTCCTTGCACTCCTGCAACAAAGTCTGCTTCCTGGAAAGGGAGGCATTCCTCAACTATGTTCTCTAACTAACCCCCCAGGAGGGCAATTAGTACCTCTCTATTCAGGTCCATTTTCAGAATGTGTCTGAGGCTTAGGTTTAGGGAGACTAATGTTGGCATCATCTCTTACCTCTGTGCCTCACTTTCTTTCTCCTGACAGTGCACCTGAAGTATACTCAGAGTCTCTACGGAGAAGAAGAGGGCCATGTGAGTGCCTGTCAAAGCATCCGTTTTGCACAGAGGGAAGAGAGCCAGATTATATCAGGTCTGTGGACACCTGAATTGGCCTTGACATTTTCTGAGTCTAGTGGAAGCCATGGGAAGGACGTAAGACCAGGAGATTTCAAAAGTTTCAGCAACATATGGAGGGTAGGCTTCTGTGGGGTAACCAAAAGCCTAGAGATGGAAGATCTGGTAATACCTTGCTTTTTGTTCAAGATATCTTTCAGATGTGCTTTCTCTTCTTGCACTAGAAAACATGGAGAGTATTCAGGCATTAGGTACCACCCACAGCAATATCAGAAACAGTCACTTGGGAGGCCAAGTACAACTCTGTCTGCAACCCAAATGTGGACCGCTCAGTGTAAGCCCCTCTGGTTCCCACAGTCCTTGTAAACACTAAAGACCCTGGTATTAATAAACAGTATCCATGAGGACCTTGTGTAATGCTCATCAGTTCTGGGAAGAAACACATCAAGAAGGAAGGGGTATGTGACCAAGCAAGGAGCAGAGTGGTGTCTTTAGGCAGGATGACTAGAACAGGCTTCTCTGAGAAGGGGACTTGTGCTATTTGAGGGAAAAAAAACAAGGAGCATCCCGGCATAGGTCCAGAGGCAGGAGCATGCTTGGGGGAAATTTCTAGAACACTTCCACCAGGAGGTGGGGAGCCTAAAAGGATATGAGGCTAGACAAAGCACAGGGTCCTAGGCTGCAGTGAGATAGCTGTGTCTGGAGTACTGACTTAGAAGTTATGAACATAGTGAGGACCTCAGGTGATCCCCAGCTCACTCACATGAGTCCAGTTCCTTTTGCAGGGCATCCCAGACATTTTTGGCTTCTCCCAACTCCTCAATGGCTTTCTTTTTGGCTTCAACAAATAGCAGAAAGATAGACGTTGTGTGAGTAGAGCCTCCATTTGCACTAGGTTCAAAGACTCCCTTGCAAATGGTGACATTTCACATTTGTCTTCAAACAAATCTAGAAGGACCAGATTTTAGAGAGCAGGAAATGTCTTTCTGAATCCAGGTCCTTCTTGCTGAGCTCAGGTGGCAGCAGGACCAGATTTGCTAGCCTATGACTACAGTAACTACATGCAAAGGTGCTCTGTAATTATATTTAATGCTCTACTGTTATTGTTGTAATACATCTAGATATTTTTCACAAGGGTCTCTATATTTTCACTTCACACTGGACCTGGCAAATCATGTAGCTAGTCTTGAAAGGCAGCCGATGTCCCTGAACTCACCCTGTTGAACTTCATTAATCCGGTTAATTAGAAACTCAATCCGGGGCTCAAGACTTCCTGCTGCAGGAAGAAAAGGAGGTTAAATTGATGACAGAGCAGGCAGAGGTGGTATATGCCCATATAAGTCTGCTGTTTTCACTCCACACACATCTACTGAGTATCTCCTGTGCACAGGGATTATCATAGTTGGCATAGGGAAACAAGGAACAGAACAGTAGATATCTGGATCAGTCAACAGAAATGAAGTAGGGCACAAAGGGCTAAAGATAGAAGGTACAAGAAGTGCTTCTCAGATACGGGAAAAAGTGTTTTGTAGAGTCTCTATCAAGAGAGGAGGACAAGCCGCAGCTCTCTGATAGTTGAAAGTGGGGCCTGCCCTGAGGAGAGAACAGGACTGGAAAGAGCCTGATGAGCAAGCAAGGGGTAGCAGGAAGTGAGTGGAAGAAAAAGAGAATGTAGGTAAAAATCTTGAATCTAAGAGAGCTGTAGGAGTCAAATAAGTGGGCAAGGGGCTTGGTACAAGATTTTGGGAAAACACTTTGCTTTTTATCCTCTTATACTCCTGTAATTTTAAATCATTGGGGCTCTATGTTAGTTCAAAAATTCAATATTCAGAGAAAGCAAAACTGAACAGGATAACCTCTCAAGGCTGTGAACTGTAGGACCTGCAATTGAATCCACACCTGCGTGACCTTAAACCTCAGGCTAAACCTTATACACAAAAGAGACACAGGACCTTTCTGCAGTTTTTTCACTATTTCCATCAAATCTTCAATTTTCTGTGTGGATGAGTCATTCCCTGTGGAAGCAAAATCATACATTTCAAAACCAAGTAGGATAAAAGGACAAAGAATTCAATAGTGCTGGGCTGGGACTGAGGTGAGCTGAGGGCAGGTCTCCAGCCAGAGAGACCTTTGTCTCCTTTGTCATGAAGTGAAAAATATGTAAGAGATATATGGAGCCCCTCTGTGGTCAGCCTTTCACTACTTGGTGCAATGATGCTACAGATACCCCTTTACAGAACTCAAGCTGAGGGTAGGGGTATGCTCACATTCATGTGGTCAAAGTTCCCAAAGTAAGAATGTGTGAAAAAATCCCAAAAGTGACAGAACTGACCAATCATTGACTTAAATCTCCAAAACTCTGAGCCAATAAACCTTTTCTGTTTTAATTATCTCAAGCATTTTGTTAAAGCAATGGAAAGGTAATGAAGTTAACAAAAATTAGCCAAAAGTATTTTAAAATATATACTATCACCAGGCATGGTAATCCCAGCACTCAGGAGGCTGAGGCAGGAGGATCTCTGAGAGTTCAAGACCAGCCTGAGCTACATAAGTGAGTTCCAGGTCAGTCTCAACTACATAGTGAGACCCTGTCTCAAAAAACCCATTAAGTGTCCTCAGTGAAGTATGCAAAACACATGTTCAGTGACATTGATACAGTATCTGTCAAAGCAGAAATAGGAAAGAACTTGAATGTCTATCGTAAAGGATTTACAATTTATCCATACAATAGAACACTGTGTAGCCAATAAAAAAAAGGTCGATTAATATGTATTACATGTACTACAAATGAAAAGAGATCCCCAAATGTTTGGAAGTGCAAAGTGACATATCTTCTGTGGCTGCAGAGTTAAAAGACACTCTGTCATTAAATACGTGTATGTGTACCATTACTAGATAATCCAAGTCACAAACACAAACTGTGGACAGTGCCAACTGTAAGATGATAGGACTGGCTAACTAGGGGGCAGAAAGGAAGATGTGTACTTTTCACCCATGCACTTCTGCTTACTTTTATATTTTTTAAAGTTTAGATAGATATTTATGCCATCTTAAAACTCTTGAACATTAGAAACGACAGATCTCCCATTTCAAAAAATTAAAAAATTTGGAAGCAAAGAAATAAACCCACAGTAGTGTACTCTCCTACACTCTCCTCTCATAGCAGTTCCTCTTCCTTGAGGAAACCACTGTCACCAGCTATTTGTGTACTTTTCTTACAATAATATGTCCACCCACCCATACCTCCATCCTTCTTAGACACAGCCGTGGTCTCTTAGACACTATGTTTCACACTATGGTTTTCTTGTTCTCTGAGTCTTCTCACGTTTTGTACAGGAGTTCCCAGGATTCTGTTATCAGGCTCTCTAGCAGTCTGCAGGTACCTGCCTAGGGACGCTCCTGTGATTTCATTTTGTCACACACACACCGCACTTGAACTTCACTCTACAAGCATTTCAGTTAGGTGACAGAGTGAAGACAGCAGATTTGGGGCAGTCCCTGTGGGGCACACGTGAGCACAGGACCGCTGCTGGGGACACCCTTGCTTCCCCTCACTGGCTCTGGCCCTCATGGTGGGCAGATGGTTCCGCAGACCTCAGTTTGAGGACACCAAGCAGTATCAGCCACCCGGAAACGCTAATTCTTAGATAATTCCTTTGCGCCACAGAAACAAAACCTGAGGAAGCACGTGAGGCAAAGACCCCCCCAAATCCGAAGGAGTGGCGCGAGTCAGAGTGGTAGGCTTGGGGGTGAGCCCCCCACTTCACAGGGCCCTGGAACTACTCACATAAAACCTCACGGTCACCTCAGAGCTGTGACCACAGAATTGTCAGTCTGTGTCCCACCCACACGCCACCAAAACCAGTTCTCCAGCCCGGCCCGAGCCCTGCCACTACCTCCGGCTTCCTCAACTCCCTTGACAGGCTCCGCGGCTTCTGCGGGTTCCTCAGTAGAAGGTCTAGGCCTCGCAGCCATCTTCGTCCGGTACCTCAGCGGCCACTGCTGCCTCGACGACTGATTGGCCCAACCCCCGAGTTAGGATAGGGTCTTGTTCAGTGCGCCTGCGCAGTACACTTTATGCGCCAGTTGGCTCAGTGGATGTGGGGTTTAGGGCAGGCCCTCTCCTTAGGCGCTACTGCGCATGCTTGAAGCTTTGGGACCAACAAATGCATATTGGGTTTGGAGATGGCCAGTGCCAAATGTGCCCTCATAGGCTAGCAATTGAGCCATTTGCACGTAGTCACTTGCGAGGGCATAAATGTCTCCCCCTGAGCCATACCCACGTTACAAGGTCAGATTGGGAACACTGCACATGTGCCCTGCTATGGGTCCTGCAGTCTGAGTCTGTCTCTCTTCCCACAAAACAAGCCTCTATGGACTTTTTCATTTTTGAAGTGATGCCAGCACAGGCTATGCTAGGCTCTGCCACAATTCTGCAAGGTCCAGCATTCTGCCCAGGTCACACAGGCAGGATTTCACACCACTTTAACTTTGGTGGCTGCCAGCACTGATGGCAGGTAAATGGCTACAACTTGTGTGCTGTCTGCTTCCAACAAGCTCCTGCCCCAAATCGGCCAGGCAAGCCTCTTTTTTCTATGCACACTACCCTGTATGGAGTGTCCACCCTGGAGTCTAGGGGAAAGGGGCTCAAGAAGGAAGCACATGGTGCCACCTGGGTTGACTAGGTGTGAAGTGAAATGGAGACAGAGAACCTTCCAGAGCTTTCCCCCACAGATCTGTGAAGGCCTATCCTAGAGGGAACCGACCTCTACCTCATAACCCTGTTGGGGTTAGGATTAGGATTAAAGGTTGAGGGTTAAGGATATAGGATTAGGAGTCAGGGTTTTAGGCTTAGAGTTGGGGTAGGGATTGGGGTTATGGTTAGAATCAGGGCTAGAGAGTTAGAGTGGGCATTGGTTTGGGGATTGGGACTAGGAAACAGATGTTAGGTATATGCATTAGAGTTAGTGTAGAAACTGAGATTTATATTTTAGGGTTGATGTGAGAGTTATGGGTATCATTATGGTTAGATGGTTAGATGTAGGGAGTAAATTTAGTGATCTTTATAGGTAGGGTACCTGAACTCTGGATACTATCACCTGACATACATAAATATATATGGTGCAAGTTCAGCAAGTTCAAAGTCTAGGTCACGTTCAAATTCAGTGTTATCTCATTTTTAGCTCAAGGTCAGGTGAAGGTTCATATAAAGGATCAAGGTTGGGAGTCAGACCCAAGGTCAGGTTGAGATCACTACACATAGCCACAGTTCTTTGTGGGCCTCAGCTCTCAAAGGCTTCTTTGTCAAGGGATATGCTGTCAGGTGTTGTACTGTGTTGGCCAATATATCTGAGCAATCCTTGGCAAGTGAGCATGTAGCCAGTAGTTCCCAGAGGCTCTGCACTGAAGACTTCCTTGGCTGAGCTTTAGACTGCACTACTTGGAGTCTTTAGGGGACCAGCAGCTCCCAAGATCCTTCTCAGGGAGGGGTATGTAGGTAAAACTGAACTACCCAGATACCTAGGGCCAGAAGCTCTCAGAGGCCACTACAGAATTTGCTTCATAAGCTGCAGGTTCTCCTCACCTTGACAGTAGCCGGAATGATCCTTGTATTCAAATTGTTAAAACCTATGATCCTACAGTGGGGCCAGGCTCTTATAAAATTATCCTTTCTCAAAGACTACACTTTACAGAGGCTTCAGTGGTGGCTTATATATCTGTTCTGCAGCCCAGCCCTTAAATTCATGGATGCTGTGTCAGGCATGCCACTTGGAGTGTGTGGCCTCCTGAAGCCAGCATGTTCCTGTCCCTTCTGGGTCTCGTGACCCTATTACAACTGTGTTTGGACTGGTGGCATTCAGAAGTTAGTCTTAGGGAAATAGTTTCCTTGACTCCTTTTTCTTGTCATATGAGTTTCCACTTCTAATGAAGACAAAGATATACAGCTGGGCATGAGTTAAAGCAGCGAGAGCATATTTTATTCACTAACTACTGATGTTAAAGGAAAGAGCTGAGTTCCATTCTGATTTGTGCAGATGTGACGTGTGTTTTAAGAGGAAAATAAAGGAAAAGGGAATGTATGAGCTCTGTCAGTGAAGTTAACAAGACAAAGAATTGGTCAGTGTAAAAGTAAGTAGGCTAGCTATTTGTAGCAGTTGTCTCAGTAAGAAGTCTGTCTTCTACAAAGACTGAAAGACAGGCCTTATCCTTTTTTATCTTATTTCAAAGGAATTAATCTCAGGCAGAGAGAAAGACCTTTCTTGTTAGTGGACCCAAACCTGGCTGGTTGCCACACAACAGGCTAGTAAGTCAAGATACAAAGTATTAAGGTGAGAATGGCAATTTTATTCAGAAACCTGGCTGAATGAAAAAAAGAAAAACAGAATTCTTTTCCAAAGTCCGTCTTGCTAGCAGATTGATTTAGGCGTGGGTGATCTACACAGGAGATGAGCAATCACAAACTGGTAGGTATCTTCTCACAGATGTAGGTTTGTAGCCAAATGACATTTCATCTTAATCACTTAGTCGTAAGATGCTTTTCAGTTCAGCAAATCTCAAGAGTATTATTATTTATTTCAAGAGCATTATTATTTATTTCCTTTGCACTCATTAGTTTGTCACATGCAGTTCCTGACATATTACACAATGGACAAGGTAGATGGAGCAGCTGCTACCCCAAAACCCTCTTGTTGATCACTAAACTCATAGTAAAGAGAGAAAAAGAGGAGAGAGAAGGAGTAGGGGAGGGCAGAGCAGGGGGACACTTGGTTAAGTAAGGCTACATAGAAAATCAGGCGCAAGATCTGGTCTCAATGCCCAGCTTCATTCCCAGTTGCAAGAGATACATTTTTTTCTTTTTCAGTCTTAAGCCCTCTCCCTTAAGTGTTTTGAGAAAAATAGGTCAGGACCTGATCCTGTTGCCAGATGTTGATTAGGACATAGTAAGTTTTCTTGTATTGAGGGTTGCATTTTCCTCAAGCAGATATTTTAATGGAGGTAGGGGATATGGGTATTCTGGGGTCACCCTGAAGACATAGCCTTATGCTGTTTGAAGATATACTCGTTTAGTTTGGTTTTTTTGGTATTTTAGCACAAGAATTTGGACACAGTTCTGCAGTTCTCACAGGTATCTACCATCCTATGTAGCCCCTAATAATTATTTGTGTTGTTCCAATCTGTTTCATATTTATTCTCTCTCGCTATTTTCCTTAGATTCCCCTCATATAGAATAGTTTGGAAACTTCCAGCCTGACCAGACCAATCTCAGCCAGTCCCTTTTGTTTCCATAGGAAAACACAGGCCATTTCTACACAAGTTCTCTAAATTGTGTTTTAGTATGAGAGTTAAGTAACTATGGCTTAGAGATAATCATAGTAGGATAAGAAAGGCAAGTAGAATGGTGCTCATACAGAATGGAGTCTGCCTCACCAGAAAGGTCCCTGATCTGACAAACATGTAGAATAGTTCATAGCATATGTTCTAGATTGCAAAAGCATATAGACTACTATGTTATGGGCCACTCAGAAAGTCTACCGGAACAACCAGCACCATCTTTGGCAGTTCTCTGAGGAGGAGAAGGGCACTGGTACCACCCACCACCCCCAGCTCCACCAAGCTCAGAGGATGCGGACCTGAAAGTGTGAGAAGTTAAGGGGACAGCTGCTTACCTGTCTTCCACAGGAGAACTAAGCTGCCCCCGATACTTCAGAGGGTGGCAGCAGTGACCACTGTGACTTGGACTGCTAGGGAGGGTACACCTTAGGCCTCTCAGGAAGCATGCAGATTCATAGACCTATATCCCATTCTCAGCCTGTGATCCTTCCTATATCCAGCAGGGTTCAGACACCCAGCAAAGAGGTGCCTATAAGGGAGGTTCTCACCATTAGAGGCATGGACTGCATGAGAACCTAAAAAATCTGGGCCATGCCTGCCCCGTACAGTCGTGAGAAAGACCTCTAACACCAAACACTGATTGTTCCATGTTGTCCATCCACCTAGGGTCAGCAGCGACCAGAGTTGAGGGGGGTGCACAGGCAGAAAGTAGGCCCAGAGCAGGAGGCACAAAAACTCCAGGAAGACCTCAGGTGGTAGAGGAAACACATGGGATCCTACCGTCACAGTGGAGGGCAGTCACAGGACATCTTGGAGCCTAGCCGGCCTCCCACAGATCTCTGAGCCTCCCTTGCGTCCCACTACCTGGGTCCCTGTGACTTAGCCAACACTCAAACACTGTCCTTTCACAACCCACCCCAGGAATCCTATTCAAGGTGGAATGCTCCTGGGCTTTTATTCTCACAATTACTCTCTAAACAAAGCACTGTACCATTAGTTATATAGCATTTATGTTTTAGCAAGTGAGTGAAGAGTTAATTTAAAGCATGACAGGATATGTGCAGTTTTCATGTAAACATTACACCATTTTTATATAGGTCTTAGTCATCTGCAGATTTTGTTAACTACAAAGGATCCTGGAATGAATCCTCCATAAACTTGAGGGATGACTATTATATCCTGAGTGAGATCAGTCTTTAGCATGTACATTGTATCTACCCATCTGCAAAGCACCATAAACTATCACCTTCCTTGCTGCAATAGTTTCCTAAATGTATTTCCTGCTTCTGAAGTTCCCTAGGTGAGACCCTAGGAGTGGAAAATGTATCAGAGCTTTTGGTGATCTCACAGAGAAAGATTAAATTGAAAACAGGAGGAAGGCTGAGATTTCACATCAGGAAAATTGCCAGCTTCTGAAGATTTGCATGTTACATGGTTAAATTCAAAGTAAAAATGGTAAAAAGTGAATGGAATTTCTTTCATTGTCATCTTGCTGAGAATACAAGGACATGATGGGGAAATAGCTCATTAATATGGGATTAAAAATGCTAAAGATTCTGTGAAGTGTTGTTGGGCAATATCAAGCAGCATAATATACAGGTAACTGGAGATTTCAGGGAGAAGCAAAGTGAGAAAAATATTCAAAAAAGTCAAAACTGAACATTTTCTAAATCTGGTGAAAACTATAAACCCATACACCCAAGAAACTCAGTCTCACTAC